CGTCGCATTTTTTTTTAAGCTCTTGTAATCTAGGTATTTGGCCCGATAGTCAGTCAAAACTTCCTCATAGTATTCAGTTCGTTCTTTTAACTAGTCATGAGGCATTTCTTTAAAGAATGGTGGAGGCTAAGCATCATCTCCACAACAGATTACCTAACATTTTTGCTCTAGTAAGTAGTCAATAAACATTTTGAGAATATGCCTAGGCACTGTGCATACCTCATTCCAGATATCAACTTGTGGAAATTTCTTTTCTCCCATATGTTCAGGTGTCCATTCTCCCACACCATTTCATCTAAAGAAGCTATGCCAAGTTTGGGCTTTTACTTTATGATCATTTTGAAAATCTTTAGCTAGCGTATTTGTATAGGTAAAAACAACCATGTTTATATCTTTGAAGATTTGAATTGCACACGTTGTCTTTCCAGAACTACCATCTCCATTGAGATAAGAAACTCGGGATCTTGTAATAGGATCATAAATTGATAGAGCAATACTTTCAGTAATATCTTTAATTGATTCCTAATGCCTATTTTTTGGCCAGTATACAATATTAGAATCTGGACCATGAATTTTTTCTCTTTTATCACGCTATTGTCCAGGCTGTATTTCTCTAATCAGTTCTGAAAGAATCTTTTCTTTTAGAGGTTCGGATATTTTAGTAATAGCTATACTAGTATTGCTAGATGGCTTCTTATCAGGAATAACTTCCCAAAAACCTTTATGAGCATACCAATCCCAAAAGCAATCATGACAAACAAATGGTTTATATTTGCTACATGGAAAATATTCTCCTACTGCTAAAAGCATTTTAGTTTTTTGGAATACTTTAACCGATTCTATAAACAATGAGTTGTTACATACTGCACATGAATACCAGTCGTGTAGATATAGAAATCTACTAGTATTTACCGAATTTTGAGATAGCTAATCTTTTGCTTAACTTGCTTAAAGAAGGCAGATACGTTTTCGATCTTATATAAGGCCTCTCTTCGTATATATATAGAATCTGTTGCGATTCTTACTACTTCATTAGGGCCAAATCTTCGAAGCATTTCCAGTAAGTTTATATGGGCGTAAGCTAATATTGAAGCTCGCAAATATATATATTAAGGCTGATGACCCTCATAATATGTAAGTATATGCCCAAGCAGATATTTATCACTACCAGCATATGTTCCCTCTTTAATACAATCCTGAATTAAGAAATCAAGTTCTCCTTAGTCTATTACAACCCAATGAGTAAGGTGTTTTTCTTCAACTTTATTTCTCTGCGTGAACTTTCCTATGATAGCACAACTAATATCCTGATTTTTAGGCAACCATACATTCGTTTGCTTGGTAAGAGAAATAATAGCTTCTCCTATAGATACACTTTCTAGGATATCTGCTTCGAGAAGATATCATAGAAGTACAATAGGTGTCCAGCCTTTTACTTTCCCACATCCTTCTCTACTTCGACAAGCAAAGTGTTTTCTATACCAAACAGAAATTGCTAGATGAATATTAGGAACAAATTTGAAAAATCTTACTTGCGCAAATCCGGTTATATCATCTTGTAGCAATTCTTCATTTACTGCTACTCGAACAAGATGATGTGTTGGATGTCCAAACTGCTTAAACTATGGTAAACACTCTCCTTGACCACGCATACTTGCTGGGTAACATTCCTTTATATCTATATATACAACTTCTCCAACTTGATAGTTAAGTGTATTCCAGCGTCCTCTATACCCATGCTCAACACAAGATTGCTTTATATTTTTATATACGCTAGCTGGAGTCAGATGCCAATTATTAATTTCATTGGCAAGTTTACTTTTAGCATGGTTTGCCCCAAATATCTGCTCTGCTAACTCAACTATTTTTAGTAATTCTAGAAATTCCTGCTCTTTTTCTTCACTAATTATTC